CGATGTTGGGTTTTCCAAGATTTCAAGGTGGATGTCAGCAGCTGAAGTTTCCTTTGAAACCGAAAACCCGCCCAACCATGAACTTGAGTAGAATTCCAAGAATTTGTCACCATCTATTTAAAGTTAGGCTCATTGGTCCACCAAGTTTCAAACCCTTTAAGGGTTTTGGGCCCCGAAGGATGGCTGGAGTATCGAGCATAATAGGGCGATGATTAGAGGTAGGTTTGGGTAAAATTAAGGTGTGTGAACTTGAAAAAGATAGGTCCCATTCAAGAGAGATTAGAAAGTGGTCAAGTTTAGAGGGAGGGGTTTATGGAATGGTTTGACCAAGTGAATTGGGCTCCTTCAAGGGGTATGTCAATGAGCTGATTATGGAAAATGAATTCCAAGAATTGAACCATTGCCGGTGATATGGAGTGATTTGAGTTTCGATCATGGGACCAACGAGTGACGTTGAAATCCCCTCCCAAACACCAGGTGGCCGGAGACATGGCTGAAATGGATTGCAATTCGGCCCAAACGAGGCCCTGAGAGAGTCAGAGTTGGGACCATATACCACTGTATCTGAGAGCCTTGAGAGGCTAACTGTGGCCGAAAATTGGCCAACCAAGCAATCGATCAAATCATTAAGGATTGGATCCCAAAGAATCCAAATACCCCCCCGAAGCTCCTTATCCTACAAGGTCTGAAACCCCCATATGCTTCGGATGTAGGGGAGGTTAGGGGAGGAAGCTTGGTTTCACTCAAGGTTAAGAGGGAGGGAGAACACTTGGCACAAATATCCCAGACAACACGTCTTTTTTGAGGGTGGCCCAAGTCACGGATGTTCCACATCAGAATCTTCATTGGGAGGGATAGGAAAGGTGGGAATGCCTCGTAAAACGCATCAGCTGAGGACATGAAGCTATGAGAATGATCGAAGATGAAGCGGGGACCAAAGAGTTGCCTTTGTCATAATTCACCCCAAAAGCCACGAGATTAGTCAGTTCTATCTTACCCTGTTTCTTTGGTTTGGATGGAGAACTAATTTCAGCAGCTATGAAATCTTCAAAAATCTTCTTGGAACCGTTGAATTTGAAGCCCAAAAACTTCCCTAGTGTTGCCTTGCGCCCGATCTATATTGTCAAAAAAAATGGAATCGACAGAAGCTGCCGAATCCGAAAGGGAATGAAAGAGGGAAAACCGGGATGCGTTCGAGGAATCTATATGAGAGGACAAAGAGAGTACCAGAGGCGAGAGGGGTCTAGAGGAACCCAAAAGGGAAGAGGGGGAAAGAGTACAAAGAGGGGTCGAGAGGAAATTAAAAGGCAAGAGACGTAAAGAGTACAAAAAGGGGTCGAGTTGATGGTCTAAGGAGGGAGCAACAGAGGGTACAGAAGAGGGTCAGAGGGAAAGGAGGAGGCTTGATGAGGAGGGGCAAGAATAAGAGCTTGGTTCAAAGCCTTCTCAGCAGCACAAGGGGAGGGATAGGGGTGAAAAGACCTTCTAGGAGGGGTTGAAGCCTGGTTGAAACTCCAGAAAGGTGATAGGTTAGGGAAGAGAGAGGAAGGAGAGAAGATCTGAGAGGGAGAGTAGCGATGAGAGGGGTCTAGGGTAGGGAAGGGCCAAGAGATAGGGGAAAGGCCGAGAGGGAGACTGAGATGGATGCAGCTGGTAAGGCTTTAGAGGGGGGATTGGAAGTGAGATACAATAAATGCATGAAATGACACAAAGGACAGTACAAAAACCAAGAAAAGATTTTTTATTATAAATTACAAATTTTAAATGAAAATGGAGATAAAAAAAAGCAACTATTCAAGAATTGGAAGGAGTCATTCAAGATCCTTTGCAGATATTTAAGTTAGGAACCGAGATCCCAATAGGTAGGGATCAAGATCCTTTGATGAGAGGAAGCGAACACCGTTCAGGCTTTGGCTCCGGAATCGTCAAATTGAGATTCCAAGAGGGAATCGCCACCCCTTGACCAAGATCCCCGCAACTATGGTAGCAAGTACAACTGTCACAAAGGTTCAAGGGAAGTGATAGGAAAGCAGACAAGAAAAAATGGGTGAAATGTTAGGGAAGCAATCCTGGAAATGTTCAAAAGCACCAGTTAATTAGAACCATTGGGAACATTCTGAAATTGTCCAAGAAAAGACAGAATTGCTCACAGTACACTTGGGAAGCAAGGATCAAACATTGAAAGAACACTTCTAAAGTGCTCCCTGGCAAATCTTGTAAAACACCAAGGGAAACAAACGACAAGTGAATGAAAGACATGTTATTAACTTATTATATCATTAGTTGTCAATTACATATCCCCATGGAGATCAATCTTTCTTTCTATAGCATAATGTGGGAAAATTTGTTATGAGAGACTCTTGCCTTGAGTGTGTTAAGTTGAAACTCAACATGCAGTTACAGGTTCAACCATGAGCAACCAATAAGATGGAAGTAAGACATATTATGATCTGAATATCATTTGGCCTCCTTGGCCTCAAGTATTAGCAATTTTAAGTGGAGAAATTTTTTAATAATACGCTTAACATTGTGGGTCCCCAAATTGGTGGAGTCAGGAAGTCCATATTGCCACCCATATTTTGGTTGGCAACTTAATGAAATGTAGGTGGATAATAAAAACTAAATGACCATTCTGCCCCCTCTAAGAACAGCCCAGTAATAAATCAATCAATATATAGCCCAAAAATAAAAATGAAAGTTTGACAGAAACAATTGAACCAGTTATGCCACAGTTTCCCAATGGTAATAGCACCGGTACGCAATAAGTTCATAAATTGGAGAAATTCAGACAATGCCCTCATGTTTTTACTTGAGAGTCCATTACAGAATGCATAAAAGCATTATGAAAAACTAGCTCCAAGGTTTGGAAATTGTTGGGCTTTGTGGCCTTTAAAGCCTAGGAGAGCATGTAAATAATAAATTATAATAGATTATAAACTTCAGTGGGAGTGTGTATTAGTTGACTAACTTAGAGTTAGACAGTTTATGACCCTGGTAATTTCTAAAACCCTTTCCTCTGAGCATATGGTACTATTGAGAGGGTTTCAGGAGGGTCATCCTTTGTTTAGGTTGGTAAGATGCCCAGAGATGATGTGTAGACCAGGAGAGTTTCGTGGTCTCCTAGATGTAGGCTTGTGAGAACAAGGACTAAATCCAAAACAAACTTCCGTATGACATGTATACATGACAGCCACATATCGGGAAGCGACTCTGCAAAAGGATACATGTATATGTGCATAGAGAGTCCCCCTTGCACTATAGTGATATAAGCACGTGACTTGTTCTTAACGGGAGGAACATGTAATCTGGGGCTATGGTTCTACTGTTTATTGACCAACTTTGACAAGCCAATCATGAGCCCTTACACGAGACTGTAGGTCCTGGGTGGGTCTCATTGCGTTGGTTTGAGAATATAGTTGAGGATTGTGGTTACTGGGCCAGGTGGAGTGCCCTAACAGTCATTTTTCTTGACCCATTGGTACCAATCCACCTCTAGAAATTTTATTTTCATCTTAATAAATGATTCTATGATTTTTAGAAAATTTTCAGGAAATTTTTAAATCATTTCAGCTATAAAAAAACCTAAAAGGATATTTTTGCAATTTCCAAAAATCCGTATGGCATTTTGGGATCCACGTGGTAGGCCAAGGGCTTAGCCCCATCACTCGGGGCCCCACATGGGTGTGGGACATGGAGCACATGTGGCCCACACATCCTAGCCTATTAAGGATGCCCATGTCTTTTTATTTTTGTTAAGGATTAAATTATTTCTTATAATAAATATGTTTTATCAAATAAGGAAACCTTATGACATGTCATAAGAAAAAGATTTAGTTTCCATACTTTGTGGGAGTAGAGAATATTTTATATTTTGAAATATTCTCTCAATTTTTGTTTTTGACCAAATCTTTTTTACTCTGAATTCCAACAAACTCTTAGCGAGAGAAGACGAAGTTCTAATCAAGAAAGAAGATGTTTTGATTGTTCTTATCCTAGGTTGACTAAAAGTGGACGTGGGTTAAAGATTCAGGGGATAAGGATCCTAGATTCCTCACTGAATCATGAAGCCTAATTCATGGGATGGATAGCTCAGATTTGTTTCTCTCTCACCTCATAGATTGCCTTGGAGTCCTATGACCAAGGTGAAATCTAAATTAGACAGGCATACCTAAACCCACTTAGAGGCTACAAATAGAGGATAGACCTCCTCATTCTCATCAACTAAAATTCCTAGACCACCTCATTCTCTTCAACTGAAATTCCTAGCTCTCTCTCTTTCTCTCACATACGCACACACATGCACACACACACATCCAAAGGTGTGTCACACTCTCTCTCTCATCCAAAGGTGTGTCACGCACCACCCAAGGGAACTTCAGGTGGCATGCCACCCACAGATTACGTAAAGGGGCATGCCCAACACTTACAGACCTAAGGAGGTGTCACTTGTGGCATGCCCTAGAAAGGTCCAAAAAGGGGTCTAAGGAACCTAATTTGTTTTATGCACTCAAACCTTAGATCTGAAAAAGGTATGGCCTAAAGGAGCTACCTGACTTAGAGAATTCAATAGAGCCAATAGGACTAGAGTACGCCATCAATTAGGTAATCGGATGTAGGGTGTACTAAGTTCTAAGGGGATGACCCTAAACAAAGGCAAGTAAGTATTCCCGGCTGTATTAAGTTTATTTTCAGTCATAATTGTTCAATTTATTGCAATTTTCAGGAACATTATTTGTAATAGAATTTCTAGTTAAAGCTTGTATTCAGCCCTATTATATATATTTGGCTGTAAAATGGAAAGGTCCTGGGTTGTATTTAAGGTTTTATTTCTTGTTTACAACATTGGTTTTTGGCACTTGAAATTGAAATTCAGATATATTAATAAAAGAAAAAGATGAGTTTTTTTTTTTTATTCCCTAGAACTTCACATAGCCACTTCTTTAAGAAATTAGACAGATAAGTAAAATAAAACCAAAAGGAAAGATAATTTTAAGCGGTACCTGTTGTTTTTCTATGCGTAAAGCCATAGTCTTGATACCCCGCAAGCAAAGCCAGCAGTCAAATGGAGCTAATCCTGAACCTTCTGCGTTTTGTAGAAAATATATATCTTTTGCCAAACTACACATAAATAAAATAAATGAGTATGAGAAACCTATTGATCCCAACGAGGTTCCACACCAAAAACTACACTGGAGAAAGGGCATGTCTAAGAACATGACAAACAATGTGGCATGCAAATTCACATAAAAGATAATTTAACTAATTAAATGGAAAACATTTTAAAAAATGAATCAAAGGAAAAAATATAACAAAAGAGAGGTTCCAACAACATGAAGGTAGCCAGTGTCCAGTAACTTCAAATTTCGTTCCCCATATAATAGATAACCAACACTTGGAAACATATCATCTTTTGACACGTAAATAAAAGATGCAACACAAGCAGTTCCAAGGAGTTGACCAGTCCTATTACATGCTATTGATTTTGGCGTGTCAGGAGTAAAGATGGAATCCTATGCAATAGTTCCTATCAATGGAAGCTAAGGGAACACGAATGGGACTGCCAGGGGTAGTCAGTTTCAATGATTAGGAAACACAGATGTTGAAATTTCTCCAAACTCAAGAAAACCAGTCTTAGTTACAAAATAAGGAAATGCTATTGTTCCATTTAATTTTCTAATTTAAAAATTAACCCCGATTTCAAAGCCCCACTTTTACATGATTTTTATTATTCCCATTTTGCCTCTTGAATGTACGGACTAGAGTCTTATTTTTTGAGTAGCAGAGCTGTTCGGACAATGGATGTAGGAAGCCTTCTTTCCATTTCTGGGACAATTCAGACATACAATGTCCGAACCACCTTAAACCCAAAAATGAAAGACAAGTGTTTTGGGTTCGGATACTCTCTTTTTTTTTGTAGCCCATGCATCTTATGTAAAAGCCATTTCTACATTTGTCCCTTCCAGAATGATTTATTTTCACTAAAACAACTACATGATTCTTTATAAGATTCCTCTATATCACATGTCACTCTTTCGAATACTGGTAGAAATCGTTAACGTGATTAAAATGTCACCGAAAGATTCCTTTTGGCTTTGGAACAGTGAATCACGAATGTTCCATGATGTAAAGGGGGAAAGGTGCAAGCCAAGTTGAGTGTGAGATATCGGCATAAGAAAATTAGTGAACATGAATAAAGCAAGTCTTCACTCATTTAAGTGGTATTTCCCTTAGGCAGCAAGCACTTTTAGGGATTTAAGCTAGATGTGTTTAGCTATGGGTGAATCTAGCTATGGGTGGATCTAGGGTTCCAGATAGACCTAACACGATTCGGGAGTTTGGAAAGTGGCTTCAACAGTTAGGGTCCATCTTTAGAGTGATGAGATAAGTTGGGGTTGGGAATCAAGTGAGATTCTTGCAAAATGTGTGGTCATGTAATTCCCCAATCCAGAATAGGTTCCTAAGACTACCACATTATCCTTGGATCCTTGGCACAGACGGGCTTTGATTTAAGGTCTTGGGGAGGAGGGTTTTGTGGTGTCCTAGTTTTATGAGAGGCATTAAGGACAAGGGGGGGAGAGGTGGTGCCTTTCAGAGAGTCAAAAAGCCCATCTTATCCATTTGAGTAGCCCAATACGTTAGTATGCTGGTGGATCTTCATTTGTATCTATCAAGTATTATTCCCAACTTGTGTAGGATGATGCTTGTGTTGTATCCTCTGCCCAGAAGCTAGAGACTCCTACTCTCCATCATCCCCTAGCACCAAATTAATTACGTGATTTTCACTCTCAACAAGATGCTCACTTATGACCACTTTCAGCATTGAGCATCCAGTTTCTCAAATTTTCTCAATCTTTGGGTAAGCAGAGGACACAATTGAATAAATCATTATCATCATCAAAAAAGGAGGACAACCTTGTATTATTCTGAATAAATCATCATCATCATCATCAGAGCCTTTTTCCAATTACTTGGGGTCAACTATACGAATCCTGGTCTGTCATTCTACACTACCAATGACCATACCCCTAGTGAAGCCATAAGCCCCCATATCTTTTCTCACTACTTCCAACTAGTGCAACCAGGCGGTGTTATGGCATGTCACTTCTGGGGAATGCCTTGTGTATTGGGAACGCCCTAGCATAAGCAAATAGCGTAGATTTAGGATTCATGGAAAGTTTTGGCAAAATTTTATGTTCACTTCCTACCGAACACAACTCGCCTCCTTTACCCGGGCTTGGAACAAGTTGAGGGAAAATTTAATATCCTCACCCTTCTTAGACCAATTATTCTGAACGAATGTCTTTATGAAAAGATATTGTAGTTCCCCATAAAGAATAATTGACTTTGAATGGACTCCGTAATGTCACCTATTTCCAAGTCTAATAATGTTCACGCTCAACATAAATATGGTCCAAAAATGCATGGCAGTTAGATTTCTTGTTTAACTCATAATTGACAAACCAACAGATCGACGTGAAAAGGTTAATTAATCACACATCCACTTCGTACGATAAACTAGGAATGACAGAGTTAGATTGTCCATGGAGCAAGGCAAAACCCATCATATCCACTAGACTTTCAGACCAAAACAGAAGAAAGTCAATTCTACTCACTCAAACAACTGCCAAAGTCCCTCCAGTAATATGAGCACTATAACCAATAAATATGACTGAGGATGCAGAACTAAGATACAAAGTCTCTACTTGTATTGTATAATCCAATAATAAGCCAAAAGACAACGTATTCTCTAATATGTTCTATAAAAAATTGAAAACATCTATAGCCATACAGTAAAAAAAAGAGTTCACTAACCTTTCCCCTTTTACAGCAAGAATGCCTGCCATGAGATCACTATGCCCAGATATGAATTTAGTAGCTGAATGCATCACGATATCTGTAAAAGATAAGAAAGGGAATCATTTCATGATAATCTTCAGCTTGATACTTCATCACTTCTAAACTCTGCAACCTGAAATATACCAAACCAACAAGAAATCTCTCACAATGATTGGGTGTACACATACCTGCTCCCAGATCTAAAGGTCGAGAAAGTACAGGAGACATGATGCTGTTATCCACAAGAACAAGAGCACCATGTGTGTGGGCAATTTCTGCTATGTTCTGAATATACAAAGCAAAAGAGTAGAAAGCCATGTCCTATTTAGGAAATAAAGGGCAAGAGAACTCCAACATTATAGCGTATAAACTAAAATACAGGAAAATTTATGCGAAGGTAACCAAGTACATGCACTGCATGCTAAGTAAAATTTTGAGCACATCAGCATGCAAAACAATGTAACATTCTAGTGCTAAGTTAAGAATTTAGCAATCACCACCGTACAAATATAACTCTAAAATATCAGCTTCTAAATATATACATATGCATATGCATATTGAAACAAAGCCTAAAATGTTTATTTCTTTCTATTTTAAATATACGTTCTACATGATTCAGTAATCTATCAATAAACTCCCCTTGGAATTATAACAAATAAGAACATAATCAGTGAATAATTGGCAGCAACATTTAATAATAATAAAAAAAAGGAGTATATCTCCAGCCTCACAATTGTCAATTGATTGCTTCAACATCCCAATGAAACTTTTAAAGCCAACCTGTACCAGTTCCTTGCATCCAATCCTTTTGAAAGGAGAGAAACTCTCAATATCCCATAGCATACCTGCACCACCTGTATCGTATGCAGCATAATACGAAAAATCCAGCCACTTCATTGATTCTGAAGGCTCTATAAAATGCAAACATATCAGAGAAACCCACATAAACCTCATTACAAGTTTTGTTTCAGATACAATGATGAGCGTAACCTCCACAGAAGAATTTGAGGGCATTCTTCAAACATCAACCAACCATAAAAAACAAGAGTACATACACCTCAAAAAAATATAATGCAGCAAAAGGTGCAGTCCTAATTCCTTTGCCTCCTTGAAAAACAAGCTTAGGGACTTAAAATCCTATGTGCTGCCAGTGATCATCCAGAAGTGTAAAAGGATAACCCATAATCATCCAAATCTTTGGGTTATCCCTAATATTGTGGTCAATCTCATTTAAATAGTTGTTCTAACAAATATAAAGTCAAACCCATTCAAAATATTGTTGTAACAACACATCCCATGTATATCCAAAACTATGTATACCTTGAGTTATAAATTCACAATCTCATCTCACGTGAAAGTTTAAAAAAGTGAGATAGAGACTTCTTCAAAATATTTGGGTTGTTCTATTATGTTATCAGAGCAGAGTCGATCCACTCAGCCTACCATCTGAAAGTCGTTCCTTAACCCAAGTTCTTCTCTCTGCGTACAAATTCCTCTCTTCATTACTAATTAAGCCATTTTTTTTAATTTTTAAATACATCTCTCTCTCTCTAGCCTTATCATATAGCCTCCTTTATTCTATCTAACTCCTCCTCACCATGTTCATCTTAAATACTCAATATCTCCCTTGGTAATACGTCTCTCTCTCTAGCCTTTTCGTATAGCCTCCATTATTCTACCCAACACCATCTTTTCATCAACAAAGTCCTCCCATAATTTTCATTCCACCTTTATTTATTTATTTATTTCCACATTCCATCTAAACCCTCTCTCTCTCTAAAATCTCTTTCACTCTCTCTCTAGCATCCAGCAGCATCTTTGTGCCCACCTATCCTCCCCATATTCTTTTTTACCCTCTTCCCTACACTCAATAATGGCCACACCTACTACCAACGCACCTACACTTGTTGCCGATAAACCTAACCCTACCATTAATAACCTCCATCACTTTCTTCCCCACAAACTCACAACTACCAATTACTTGCTTTGGAAATCTCAATTCATGCCATAGTTCCCAAAATCTTTCCTCAGACCCTGCGATTCTGATTCCAAAACTCTTTTCCACGTTGTCATTAAAGAAACTCCATTGAAACCGTTTTTTTGACCAATGAAACTCGTTTCCTTTATTTCGGAATCTCAATTCCGTACCTAGGTGGAAACTCGTTTTCGCAATATAGGAAACTCGATTCCTTAATTTCGGAATCTCGATTCCTCACATATGTGGAAACCTATTTTTGGAACCAAGAAAACTCGATTCCTTAATTTCGGAATCTCGATTCAACACTTCTTTTAAAAATATTTTTCAAAACCAAAGAAACTCGATTCCTTAGTTTTGGGATCTCGATTCCTTAATTTCGGAATCTCGATCAAACAAATCTAGAGAAACTTGAACCCCCTAATTGTCGGTAGACACTCCCAAATAGATTGAATATAACTTCTAGCGAGGTTTAAATCTTGAGTTCATGTTAAATGATACACGATTCTACAAGTAATGGAACTTATTTCGTTAGGGTTTTGAATCATCAACATTGTATAAAACAGTGGTTTCTTGTAAATAATAACCACAAAAGTAACGTTTTATTTTCTAGTGGACATCATGCCTTAAGGTCCCAAACGATAGCATCAGGCAGCATGTGTACTAGAAGGGGGTATTATTATTTATAAGGCATGTATTTAGAAGGAATTTAATGAGATTGTGTTGCTTTTTTAGTTATCTTTATTATGTTTCTTATATCTGCGTTAATGCACTATAGTTTCTATGCCTTGCTCATACTTATGTGAATTGCTTAAGTGAACTTACACCACGTCTCGCCTAGCAACATTGCTTACTGTACTACCGATTGCAAAATGGTTATTAGTAATGTTATTTTTACCTTTTTTTTCCTGATTTAAATGCCTATAGAATAATGTTCCATATATTTGCGGTGATGTAAACTGCCTTGGTTTCTTAATCTTGATCATATGTTGAGTGAAATTATTTGGATGCCCATAGAATAATGTTTCTTATATTTGCGGTGATGTAAGCTGCCTTGGTATCTAAATCTTGCTCACATGTTATCTGAAAAGACTGCTTAAGTGATCTTACAGTATGTGTAGCCTCGCAACATTGCTTAATATTGAAATACTGAATGTAAAGTGGTTATTAATAATGTTAGTTTTATTTATTCACCTCTAATTTAAATGCCTATAACATATTGAAATCATTTAATAACATGTAAAACAACACACATGGACTGACGATTCTACACAACAACATATCTATGAACCACATATGTCATAAACTCGAATCAAGTGATGTCGGAACTCGATTATGCTATTATAATTCTCGATCTCAAACCAGCATGGATCTCTGATCCATATAGTTCAGAATCTTGATTCCAAATATGTTGGAAGCACGATTCCATAAACGATGGAAACTCAATTCCAAATATGTTAGAGTCACGATTCCATAAATGATGGAAACTCGATTTCGCAGATGTCGGAAACTCGATTCCATGGATGACAGAAACTCGATTCCGCATATTCATGAAACTTGACACTTGGAGTGTCCAACCTAGGGGGGTGGGAATCTCGATTCCAAGGAAGCCGGAATCTCGATTCCATAAGTGGATGAAACTTGGACCTATTCCGATCGATACTCAAATCCTGAAAATTAGGAATCTCGTTTCCAACGATTCCTATTGTACGAACAACGATTCCTACAATGAGAAACTTTTGGCCAAGCGCGATTTTGCGATTCCGGTTCCTAAAATGATTCGGGTTCCCAGGCGTTTCCAACAACTATGGTTTATGCCCATTCTTCAAGGGTATGATCTTCTCGGCTATGTCGATGGCTCCCTCCATTGAGCTGCTAACTTTCTTCCAGCTGCCTAAGATCAGCCCTGCGTTTCTCAATTGGAAGCGACAAGATCAGCTGTTACTTAGCTGGATTATCTTGACCCTCATAGAGGGCATCCATGCCCAGATCGTAGGGCTTACCACTTCCCAAGAAGTATGGACTGCACTAGAACGCTCATTTTTCGAATCACTCACGAGCACGTATAATGCAACTGCAACTCCAATTGCAGACCATCAAGAAGGGATCCTTGCTGATTATTTTAAGCAAGCAAAAAACATAGTCGATCATCACACTGCAGTAGGAAAGCCAGTGTCTAATGATGACTTGATACTTCACATTCTTGGTGAACTCCCCCCGAGTATAATTCGTTTCAGACCTATGACTACAAAGTCTGATCCAATTACCCTTAATGCTCCCTATGGTATGTTGCTAAGCCAAGAGATTCGACTCTCCGACCAACATTACATGCTGGATATTGGCTCTCCATCAGCCAATCTTGCAACCACACAAAACAACTCAAGAAGGGGCCGTGGCAGTCAGTTCCTAAATCGTGGACGTGGTGGCCATGTTCGTGGGCCATGGTCAGCAGCAAAACAATAACTCCTACTTTGGAAATCAGCAAGGTAATCGCCCCCACATATCTTGTCAAGTATGAAATCGTGTGGGCCACTCAGCCCTCCAATGTCGGAAACAGTTAAACCATGCATTTCAACCTGATTTGGGTGTAAACCTGAATGCCTTTTATGCGGCCCATTCCAACATCAACGATGCATGGTACCCAGATTCAGGAGCTTCTAACCACATTACTGCTGATCTCTCCAATCTTTCTCTCCACTCAAAATATACGGGACCAGCACAGATAAATATTGGCAATGGTACAGGTTTGAGCATAAAAAATATTGGCTCCTCAAAACTCATTACAAACAGCTACATCTGCTCTTCGCAATATTCTACATGTTCCTTCCATTTGCCGCAATTTATTGTTAGTTAATCAGTTTACGAAGGACAATGATATTGTGTTTGAATTTCACCCTGCCTATTTTGTTGTAAAGGACCGATCAACAGGGAGAGCTCTACTACCGACTAAGGATGGTTTATACCAACTGGAGGTAGCAAAGAAGAGGAACAATAAGAGTACAAGTTCAGCATTCCTTGGAGAAAAAAGGAATGACATAATCGACTGGGCAATTCAGCAATACGCACAGTTAGGAGAATAATTTTTGAAAATAAATTACATGTTCTCTATAATAAGGCCCCCCATGTTTGTGAAGCATGTTAAAAAGGGAAAAGTCGTAAACTCCCTTTTTCGCACTCATCCACGATTAGTACTAAGCCATTGGGTTGAATATTTTCTGATGTATGGGGACCTGCACCAGTTGCATCTATAGAAGGCTACTGTCATTCTGTTCATTTCTTGGATAGCTTTAGTCGATTTACATGGATATTT